TGTAGTTAGTACTTAATTGAGCGATTCGTGAGTGCGAATTGGAACCCTATGCAGTATTTTATTTACTTCTCATTTTATTCCTGCAGTTTGCACAATTTATATTGCGCAACAGTTGTAAAACCGAGTGTATTTTTATAACAAGTTGCTATACACAGTTTGTATAATTCTAAGGTTATCAAGAAAATAGTGGAAGTTATATTCAAAAAAGTGGGTTCGGATATGGTCTACATTCTGGTTGTGACTCTTCTATAGTTGTGGTTATAGTTGTTTTGAGGTCTGTTGCGTTGCATCCCCGAAAATTGTTTTTTCCCTTTTGTAAGCATAGGTTGCCATCAATAAGCCCAATATCGGGCTTATATAATTCTTTAAGCAGGCTTATACAAATACCCGTTCTAACCCTAAAGTAATTTCAAGTAGGTACCGAATGGTAGGAGAGTTGCTTGAATGGTAAATTAACAACAAGGCTTTAAGGATACTCGTAATCTTGGAATATTACTCGCAACAGTAATTCATATCTCACCGATCATTTATGCCGTATGCAGACCACTCATCAGTATCTTTACTGGCTATCTCAATAACAGCCGAATATATACAATACAGAGACTTTTTTAGTTCTGGTTTATAAATGAATCTGAAGCCCATTGATCGACACCCTCTATACCTTCAACATTTGGTGCTTATGTCTTCCGGTAGACATTCCATGATTTTTCCGCCGGCCCTGGAATCCTGAATTCACAGAGTCATTCTAAATGAAATCCCTAAATAGTTAAAGCTGATATGGAAAGATAATCTTCAGACTCGTGAATAATTCATTATCTGGCATTTGAAGTATATTTACCTTCATGCTTGATCATACTCGCTAGACTATGTATATGAAGGTTTTTGACCACTATTCGAAAAACAATCACTCAGTTTAAAGCATTTCAATCTAGCTAAAATCCCCTGCGAAATCTCTCTAATATACAGTGTAAGGCAAAATCATTGTAGAAGTATGGAAAGAATCATATTAGCTCAGTCAGCCACCTAACCCTGTTTTTAAACCCCTATTTCTATAATAATTATTCCTCTCACTTTAGACCTACATATCGCCAGTGAATTTGTAGCCAATTCATACGGTCCAAGGGACGGGCCGACATACGTACTCGGCCCTTTCCTTTTTTTAATCATTAGTTTCAATTGTTTTTGTGTACATGAATATCGCATGAAGATAAAAACTTATAGCGTGAACAAAACCCCTGCCATCCCCCGCCCGGTCCCTTTTTCTAGTAACTATGGTCTGATACCAACCGGATATCTTCTTACAAAGCAAATGTCAAGAAAATTCCCCTGACTACCACAAATCGAAAAACATAACAAAGGAAAAGGTAAAAGAGTAACCAAATAGCTAATATAACCGTACCATGCGATGTATCTTGGGTCCGCGATCGAATATAGTATAATATCGAAAGGGAACTCCTCCTTATGGGGCTAAGCCGGTGTCAAGAATTTAGCCGTTACCTGGCTGGCAGAAAGAGATTAGCCGAATTTACCCGAGGCTCGGTTCGGTTGTTGAGAGCGGAGAAACTGCCATGTTTATTGTTCATTATCTTGTAGGCTGCACAATCTCCGTGTTTCTGGTGAGAATGCATTAACTAGAGAAGAGAAAAAAGTTTAAGTTCTTCGGTAAGGAGGAGTTTCAAGAGAGAGAAGTTCAACCCCCGCGCAATTGGCCCATTGCGGGGCTGTTTAGACTTGCAGGTTGCCCCACTTATTCGAAATAGCCTACATAGACAGTGGCTGGTGTATGGCTCTATATGTAGCTTGGTTGCGATTCTGTGTGGTAGGAACTCAGTCGACGCACTCCTGGGAGTATGATTAACCTGGGGGTTATGACAAACACCTCAGAAAATCAAAACGATTTTAGCAAAACAGCACTCTTGGTGACTCCTGATAATTAAAAACGGTTCTCCATATTCTTGCAAAGAATAGAGTCTGTTCTAAAGAATTCTCGTTTATTCCTTCTTGAATTTAGGTGAAATTAGTCATACCTCTAGTTTAACATACTCCTAGGCTTGCGCCTGCGGTTACATTTTGCGGTAGGAGCTAAGCGAGTGGGTTTGTTGGTTTGCGCTCACATTTAAGTGCCAATGGGATCATCGGGTCACGGACAACTAATCACCAGAATGTGGAGGAATCGCATTCAGGTCCAGTCACAAAGGACCTCTACCACGCGCACCCACAGTTCCTACCCAGGACTCTTGCTCCTTATTTATCGGTATATAAGGACTCTATTTTTGTACCTAGAATAAACAAGCAGTTTAAACACTAGTGTGATCTGTTCTGCTTGAACCCTCCTCACCCTTATATAACCTGACATACTTGAACCTCAAATATTGCAGTCTCGTGCGAGACTGGGTAAAGCGCACGGAATGACTACTATAATGGACATCTTTGCCATAAATGAACCAATGGATCCTTTTACCAATTGACACCAAACTGATACCCTCCCGTCAAGCACCCATCACCGACCTAAAAGGCTGCACTCCTCCGACGAGACTTAATCTTTACGGTCGCGCTTCCCCTCCGCCTGGCCAGTAAAAAACAAAAACGCCCCGAAAAGAACGACGGAACACACCAAGAACTCACTCGCCGTGAATTCTTCAGCAAACGTTCTCCCTCTAGCTATCAATACCTTCATTAAGTGCGGTCAGTAGTAGTACGGTTATATGAGTGTGTCACCGGGTGGAGGGGGACCTACCAAGATGATTACAGCCGGGAAGAAAGCAATCCCCAAAGTCATTGGCCAATTCTCGACCCGTCCCTCTACTTTCGCCTCAGCCGCTGGGCGCTGCTAAAGATATCATTAGCCCCCCTACAAAAAACGAAGAAGCAGGGGGTCGCAGCTTACAGCCTCGGCGATCAAGGCGGCCTCCAGCATCTTGCGTTTGATGCGCTTTGAAAGCTGCTCAAACTCATAGAGTGCTGCGCAACCCCGTTTTGTGGGCCAAGAGCGCGGGAGCACCTCGCCGGTTAGGACAGGGATGTAGGACATATGTTCGCGCAGCAAGGCTAGTGTGTTCTCTACAAGCTCGAGAGCACGAATGTAGGGGTTAGGATCGCGTTTTGTTGTCCTACCCAGCTGCTGGATGCTTATTGTGCCCTGTATTTGCTTGTTAATCATAAATCAAGAGGGTATATATGCGGTAGAAGAGCGGGTGAGGTTACCTTGCGCCGAACCTGCGTATCAATCTCGTCCAGGGCATCGCCCCAGTGCTCGGCAATCTTGAGAAAGCACTTGACTGTCCACTCTGCGATGCGGAACTCGTCGCCTTCATGCAAGAGCTGGCGGGGGAGCGGGGCGCAGTAGGCCGTGAGTTGCCAGGGCAGGTCGTTCAAGATGAGCGTGGTGTTGCCAGCCCGCTTGCGGATGCTTGTGAGGGCCAGAGTGAACTTCTTCTCTTTGATGTGGCGGGTACCGATGGGATTGCGAGTGTAGTATGTAATTCCCAAGCAGTAGAACTAATGTTGGTGGTTAGAATTCAGGGTGAGTGGGCGGTGGGCGAAGGTGTAGGTAGGGGGATTACCAGTGACGGGTTCTCAACCCGCATACCGTAGCACGCCGTGGCGCTGAGATGGCGCCGCAGAACCCAGATATCAAACGGGAATGTGTCCGCATACTCGTTCAGGACGGTACTCATCAGTACCGCGGTCACCGCGCTCGGGGTGACCTCCTGCACATCAATTTCCCTCCCCCTCCAAAGCCCTTCCGACCTCTACCACACACACAAATCATCCAATCCATCAGCAACTGTACACTACTCACTACTCCTTCGAGAAAACCACCCATAAAACCAACCTTCTTCCGCAAATGGTCCACAAACCCGCCCGTGTCACACCCCACCCGGAGCTCCAGGGCATCCCGAGGATGTGAGCTATAAGCAACCCCCATCCAGCTGAAGTCGCGCACGCGGAACGCCTCCCCCTCCCCCTCAGTGCGGTAAGAAGTGAGCTCCGCCAGCTGGGCCTGGAGGGTCCTATCAAGGGCTGAACGAATGACATGCGGGTCGATGGGCTCGTTTCCATCCTCAAACGGATTAACAGGCCCTCGAGCTCCCTCCTGTCGGAAGCGGGGCTCCGCGAGGCGTCTGCGTAGGGTCGTAGTCCCCCAGGGCCATATAGTGGCGTCTACAGCTTCCGCGGCTATCGGCGTCGGGTTATTGAGACAATATTCGTTTTCAGTGAGGAGAGGGTTGGCATACCGGGTGGTAGGGCTTCCATGCGTAGCTCTTATTAGCAAAGTAGGGGAGTAGTAGTTGGAAAGCACGGGCAGCGGAGCTATGGGGGGTAGTGAGGAAGGGTTATGTATCGCCGGATCGCGGCTACGTGGAATTAGAAACACCGGATTTGGCCGTAACTTTTTCTTTAAAAAAAAAGAAAAAAATAAAAGAAATTATGTCGCAGAACAGAGTGAGGTGTTCTGACACCGTCTATCTATCTACTATGTACTGGAATATCATCATCCGTTGATTGTTGCAGTCTGATTGGTTGACAGCGACAGGGGTGTTTTGTAAGCACGACACATCAAATTTTGTTTCTTTGGTGCGGTTACCCTACCCGATCTTGTTCAGTTACCCTGCCTATTTTGAGATGGTTACCCTACCCGATTAGTGCGGTTGCCCTGCCTGCTCTGAGCCGTTACCCTACCTTTTTTGGGAGTTACACTACCTGCTCAGTGCCATTACCCTGCCTATTTTCCTGCTTAGCCCAAACCCTAACCCTGACCTTACCCATGAGACCAGCCCAACCAACGGAACCCTTTATGATTAAATAATAAATATAGCTATTTAGTAGTCAAATATGAGCAGAATAGGCGAGTGAGACAAACAGTAGTTGGCGGGGGGTGCGAAGAGGGAGAGGGAAGACCAGTAAGAGGGAGAGAGGAGGTGCCAGTGCGGTGGAGGAACGGTGAAGGGAGCTGGAATATATCAGAGCTGGCACTGGAGCCGGTACTAGAGCTAGCAATGGAGCTGGCACCGGAGCTGGCATATAGTGGAGTGGGCACCGGAAGGGGCATTGGAGCCGGCATTGGAGCTGGCACAGCAGCTGGCATCGAGGCGAACGCCGGAGTAGTCACTCGAGCGGTCATCGGAGCGGACACAAGAGCGGGAACACGAGCAGGAACACGAGCGGGAACAGGGGTGGGCACAAGAGCGGGCACAGGAGTGGGCGTTAGAGCTGGCACTGGAGCTGGCACTGGAGCGGGCACCGGAGTGGGTACCGCAGCTGCCACCAGAGTGAGCATCAGAGCTGGCACTGGAGCTGGAAGCGAAGCGGGCACTGGAGCTTGCAGAGAAGCGGACACTGGAGCTTGCAGAGAAGCGGGCACTGGAGCTGGCATGTATTTGAGGCGGCACTGCAGCCGGGATCTAATGGAGCTGGCACTGGAACGGGCATTAGAGATAGCATTCGGACAGCCCCGGCTAGAGCTGGCACTGGACCTGGCATTGAAAATCGGAAATAGATCTCCAGAGCAAAATCTAGGCTTTTATGCGACATGGCCGGGAAAACAAACCATGAGACGGCTAAGACAAAATTAACTAATTACTGGAGTTGCCTAGATACTACACATAGGTGGGAGAGAAGGGGACCTCGCGGTCGCGAGGTGGCGCACCCCTAGTCTACTATGTACTGGAATATCATCATCCGTTGATTGTTGCAGTCTGATTGGTTGACAGCGACAGGGGTGTTTTGTAAGCACGACACATCAAATTTTGTTTCTTTGGTGCGGTTACCCTACCTGATTTGGTGCGGTTACCCTACCTGATTCGGTGCGGTTACCCTACCTGATTCGGTGCGGTTACCCTGCCTGCAGTCAGCGCGCGCGCGCGCTGCGAAAATTGAGGTGTCGCGCCCGTTGCACCGGTTGCGGAGTTGCGGAAATGCACCAAAAAAAACCCGTTTTCGACCCTGAAAATAACCCCCGGTGCGTCAAGTGGCCGGAACCCCCCTATTTTGCACCGGTGGGTCTATGGGAGCTGGGTGATAACACACACAACTCTTTGGGACCGGTCTCTTTGCCAAAAATTCAATCTACTGAATAAAATCTACTGAACAAAATCTACTGAATAAAATCTACTGAATAAAATTCTATCACCACTCTAACAATCAATATATTTGATTAAATTATCTGCTCTCTACCAAAACAAATTCTATAAAATACCGTTCCATAGTGTTATCACCCAGCTCTCTCGACAACATGTCGACGATTAAATGCACAAACTGCAAATGTTATGAGGATATCGTGGATTATGATCTCGATAGGAATGGCCGGCACCGTAAATCATGTCGACCATGTTTGGTGAGTTTACAAATTACTCAATTATTTGAGTTCTACTGATTCTGATCTTTAATAAGGCTCGCTTGCGTGAATATACACGTCGTCGAGCAGAAGCCAGACGGCGACAAATTGCGAACAATGAAGAGGTGAGTTGGCGAATCGTTTTGAATACCATTATTTGGGGCTATTATTCTAATAGATACTATGGCAGCCATCTCAGCCGCCAATTCAACCTGCGGTACCATTGGCATTCCAATCGTCACGGGCCCGTTGGACGCCATTGGAGTTGGGCAGAATGACAGTGATTTCTCCTTCATGTCAAGCTTTACATTGGCTAAGCGAGCGCGTGCAAGGGAGTTCAATCACGTTACCGCGGTTTGAAAATTGTTGCAAGAAAGGCGATGTTCAATTGCCGGCATTGGAACAAGCCCCCGAGTACCTACGGTACCTCCTCGAATCAACTGATACAATTGCTAGACAGTTCCGTAGCCGCATTAGGGAGTACAACTCCGCTTTGACCTTCACCTCCGTTAAATATACCTCAGATGAACGCATCGACCGTCAAGCTGGGGGGGTTACATGCTTCCAAATCCATGGCGAGCTATACCACCTTCAGGGGCCCCTGACTGCAGCAGCAAACGATACGCCCGCTTTTGCTCAGTTATATTTCTATGACCCACTCTACGCTGCACAAATGATGCAGCAGGGACATCCAACTCTAGATATTGCGGTTTTGGAACGGTTGACACAAGAGATACACACAGTCAATCCATTTATTCCATTATACAAGACAGCGAAGGAAAGATTGGAAGCTGCGTCCTCACAAGATGGAGATGTACGTGTCTTACTTAATCCGCAATTGCGGTTGATAGTGGAGAGTGGAGCGGACAAGCGGAGACACAATTTGCCTACAAGCAATGAAGTCGCTGCGATTATCCCGGATGAATATGGTGAAGCAGGATTCCGGGATATTGTCTTAGCACATAGAAATCTAGATGCCAATAGGCAGTTTAGTATAATTGATCCTAATCATGCCGCTTATATGCCCTTACATTATGTTCTGCTATTTCCAAATGGTGAGAGGGGTTGGCATTGGGGCTTACGGCTGCGGGATGAGTTGAACCGACGGAAGAATTTAAGGTTACAGCAACGCGAATTTTACAGGTTAGTTATAAACACCAATGGCTCAAAGACTTTTTGATATGGCTAACTTTTTGATTACTATACATGGTGTGCAGGTACCGACTGCATACCAGGACGACTGAACCCATGACTTTGTTCCTCTCGCAACGCCTATTTCAGCAGTATTTGGTAGATGCTTGGGCTGTTTGTGATCAGAATAAGTTGAATTGGCTTCGACTGAATCAGGCAAATATTCGGGCTGATCTGTATAATGGGTTGGCGGATAATATGTGGCAAGAGGACTTCAACCCGGAACAAACCGGGAAGCGTATCATTCTACCACGAAGCTATACAGGAGGCGACCGATACATGCTGCAGTTGTTCCAGGATTCCATGGCTATAGTCCATCATTTTGAGCGTCCCTCACTATTTGTTACCTTTACCGCGAATCCAAAGTGGGAAGAGATTACTGCGGAGTTACTACCGGGGCAAACTGCTGTTGATAGGCCAGATTTAGTTGCAAGGGTGTTCCATCTCAAGCAACAACAACTCCTCCAAGAAATAAAGCGTAAACACATCTTTGGTCGCTATCTTGAGTCTGTATGGACCATTGAGTACCAGAAGAGAGGGCTGCCACACATGTATCTACTGATATTCCTTCATCCGGATGATCGCTTTCTGACAGCAGAGAGGATCGACGAAATTGTGTGTGCAGAGTTACCGGACCCCGTGACTGATCCTACGGGGGAACTAAATGCAATCATTAGAAGTTGTATGGTACACGGTCCATATGGAGAGGCCAATATGCGATCGCCCTGCATGGCTTCAAAGGAGAATGGGGGACCAACTGCATGTTCGAAACGGTACCCTAAGGCCTATCAATCAGAGACAGTTGTACAGGAGGATGGCTATCCACTGTATAGAAGACGTAATGATGGCAGAACCTTTTCAGTGGCAGTAAGGGGCTCAGGGTTTAATCAAGAGTATCAGATGGACAACAGATGGGTGGTTCCATACAATCCTTATCTTTCTTTACGGTATAAAGCTCATATCAATGTCGAGATCTGTGGTTCTATCCACGCGATAAAATATATACACAAATATATATATAAAGGTTCAGATCGAACAACACTTCAAGTAGGGAGTGACTCGGATGAAATTACTAGATACCTCCAAGGGCGTTATATAGGACCCACTGAGGCTGTATGGCGTTTGTTCGAATACGGGATGCATGAAGAATACCCGTCTGTCATTCACTTGGCTGTTCACTTGCCTGGCGAGCAACCGGTATACTATGGGGATAACTCTAACCGGGAGGAGTCGATACAGAGGATGCAAAACTCGAGAACTACACTGATAGCTTATTTTGAGTACAATACAGAGCACGAGGATGGTACCCAGTATCTCTATCAAGATTTCCCGGTGTACGTTACCTATGACGCTAAATCGCGGAAATGGGCATCCAGGAAGAAAGGTGTGGCTATTGGACGTATGTGGCATTGCAATCCTATGATGGGGGAGAAATACTATATGCGTTTACTGTTAACCGTGATCCCTGGCGCAAGATCTTTTGATCATCTGAAAACTGTCAATCATGTGCTGTTTCCTACATTCAAGGCTGCATGCATTGCCCTTGGCTTATTGGACGATGATCAAGAGTGGGTGCAGTGCTTTACTGAAGCAAGCTTATTCTCGAGCGGATATTCCCTCCGTACACTCTTCACTACTGCCTTACTATTTGGCAACGTGACTGAACCTTTACAATTATGGGATAGATTCAAGTCAAATATCTGCGATGACTTGCCCCGAGCTATGGAAAGAAACACAGGTCTCATTATCCCCCCTGAGCTTCCGGATGCCCACCTGGACTATGGCCTCTACCTGATATCACAGATTCTTGCCGACTCCAATAGAACGCTTAACGACTTTGGATTGCCCCTCTATACAGTAGATTGGAACCGAACAGGTGGGAACGAGATGATTGCATCAGAACTACGATATGATATGGTTGTGGAAGCGGCAAGTCTACAGTTGAGAATCTCACAACTCAATTCAGATCAGTTGGAATGCTTTAATACTATTACACACAGTATTGAAGAAGCTGCGTCAGCCCTATTCTTCATTCAAGGACCCGCAGGTACTGGAAAAACGTTCCTATACAATGTCATCTGTAACCATTTCCGCTCCCAGGGTAAGATTGTGCTTTATGTTGCCTCTTCTGGCATTGCGGCACAGTTTCTCCCTAGAGGCAGAACATCCCATTCCAGATTCAAAATTCCGATTGCTATCCATGAGGGCTCAACATGTGACATCAAACGGGGTAGCCTGTTGGCCGGTTTAATTCAAAAGACCGCGCTGATCATCTGGGATGAGGTACCTATGCAGAATAAGTATTGCTTCGAAGCGGTTAGCCGGACCCTGAATGATATATGTAGTGTGAGTGATGATTGCCTGTTTGGAAATATTCCGGTCGTACTCGGAGGGGATTTTGCACAGATTTTAACAGTTGTGCAACGCGGTAATAGGGCTCAGATAGTGCAGGCATGCCTACAACGGTCTTCTTTATGGCAGCACTTCAAGATATTAAGACTCAAGATCAACATGAGGGTCCGCAATGGTGTTGAGAATGAGGTGTTTACGGCTTGGCTTGGGCAGATGAGCCATGATTCCCGATGGTATGGTAGAATATCTCTACCACCATACATCCAGAGCTGTAAGACAATTGAGGACCTTTGTATGCATGTATTCCCGCGGCATATAATTGAATCTGCCCCAACAAATTACACCGCATTCTCGAAGCGGGCGATTCAGGCGATGAGAAACGATACAGTCGCTGAGTTCAATGATAGAGTTCTACAGCAAATTCAAGGCGAGGTGCACACGTACTATTCGGTGGACACTGTTGACAGCGGGAATTCAGAAGAGAATGCAAACCTGCTACCTCCAGAATATCTGCAGGATCTCAATCCATCTGGCCTCCCACTATCTATCATCAAAGTAAAGGTGGGGGCGCCCATAATTCTACTCCGCAATCTATTTCCGAAGCAAGGTCTCTGCAATGGAACACGAATGACGGTAACTAAACTGGGTATACGGTGTATCGAAGTCAAGATTCTGGGTGGTGAGTTTGATGGTGAGCCAAAGGTTATACCACGTATACAGCTTTCATCCACTGAGGGATGTAAGGAACCATGGGCGAGGTATAAGCTGAGGGGTCGAGGGACATGGTTAGGTTCCCCGAGGGAAGGGACAGGCCTCGCGCGAGGGCGAGGGATGACGCAGTGGTGTACCCAAAGGCAGGGACAGAGGTCTGTACGCGGACAGCGGAGAGGACAGCGACGAAGGTCTGTACGAGGACAGAGGTAAGGGTCCGTACGAGGACGGAGATAACGGCGGTCGGCATGTTAACCGAACGGAACGAGGCGAGGAATAGAGAGGCGGCGAAGATCATAACAGCGGGCGCGCCGGGCATAAGGGACAGCAGACGTAACGGGGACTGAGAGTAAAAGTAATGTATTAAAGCGAGGAAAATCCCCAAAGTAATAACCCACAGTAGAATACAAGATGTTGCGTAAGGAAAGAGAAGGAAAGACAACAGAAGACCAAGCAACTCTATATAGTAAGAAGATAACAACCGATTACTAATCCCACGGAACCTTCCAGACTTCCTAATAACTCATACGTTTGGTATAGCCGTGTAGTTCGTAACAGTTTAGCTCCTCCCCCCAAAAGGCGAGCTCCTGCGAGCAAGCAGACAAAACAATATAAGAAAAAAAAGAATATAACAAAGCAAATAAAGAAGACCGACACCGGGAAACACAAGGTAGGACGGTGTCAAATACTAAAGAAACCATAAGAAACTTATCCCTTCCCACGTGGGGCCCTCTTAGGGGCTAAGGCGGGTTTGGTGGGGTACAGGGAGTGAAAACGTTGCAGCGATCCTAGCTCCGCATCGAGATTCCGGGCGGGTTCCCAAGTGGGTTGCTCGTAGCCCGTCCATTTGACCAGGTATTGTAGTTGTCGATGACGTATCCGCGAATCTAGCACCTCCTGCACTTCAAATTCCTCTTCCCCTTCGACGATTACCGGCGGCGGGGGTGGTTGTATATGGCCAGGAAGAGGCTGCGTCCGGGCGGGCTCTAGCAGGAGACGTGAAACACCGGATGGGACTTCATCGATGGGGGAAGCTCCAGTCGGTAGGCGTGCGATCCAATGCGTTCGAGTATTTTGAACTTCCCTAAGCGTTTATGGTCCAATTTATCCGAGGGCCGAGTGGTTCGTATATGTTTTCGCGACAACCATACCAAATCCCCTACTTCTAATCGTGGTTCGGGGAGTCGGGTGGTGTTGGCGTTATCGGCAGCGGCGGCTTGGGCGTACAGAATCTCGGATCGCAAGGCGGTCTGTAAGGTGGTGATCGAATTTGCAAATTCTAGGACTTCCTTCGGCGTAGCTTCGTGTCTTTCTTCGGCGGGTAGGATGTCCAGTTGGGGATTATACCCGTAGTTGGCGAAGAAGGGACTAACCCCCAAGGGCTCCGTGGTGGCGTTATTATGCGCGAACTCTGCCAGCGGGAGAAATTCTGCCCAGTTGTCCTGTTGGTAATTGACGTATCCCCGCAAGTACTGTTCCATGATTGCGTTCACTCTTTCGGTTTGTCCATCGGTTTGTGGGTGGAATGCGGTACTGAATCGAGGTTTGATGTCCAATTGGTTACACAGTGCTTTCCAGAACTGCGAGGTAAAGGTTGTGCCCCTATCTGATACTATGTCCTTTGGCAGCCCGTGAGATTTCCAGACGTGTTGTAAGAATAAGCGGGCCAGTTCGGGGGCGTCCGCCGTATCTCTAGTGGGGATGTAGTGGGCCATTCTGGTGAGTCGGTCGACAACTACGAGGATGGCGTTGGATCCTTGGGACTCTGGTAGGCCGGTGACATGGTCCATTGACAATGAGGACCAGGGTTTAGCTGGGGGAGTGAGAGGTTTAAGGAGGCCATAAGGGGCGTGTCGGGCCGGCTTGATCCGTGTGCAAGTGTCGCAGTGGTCCACGTAGCGGTCCACATACTTTCGCATTTGGGGCCAGTAGTAGTTTCGTGACAGGAGTTCCAGCGTGCGGGCGCGTCCAGGGTGTCCGGCCGAAGGTGCGTCGTGGTTAGTGCGGAGGATCTCTAGCTTAATAGCGGCGTCGTCGGGGACGTATAGTAGGCCCTGATAGTACAGTAACCCATCCTTGATTGCACATTCTCCGATAGGAAGGAAACGAGAGTGTTTCTTCCTGGCGATGATGTCCTTCATCAATTGTTTGGACAGTGGGTCATTGGCTAAGGCAGCCTGCAGTTCATCGTGGCGGGCGGATGATACCTTGGTGGGTCTGGGGACCTCTAGTGCGGCGGCTAGACGGAGGTTCTTTGGCTTGAGTATAACCTGATGCTGTTGGGTCAGTCTTTCATCCCCTTCCTTAGGGAGATCTCCAGATCGACGTGTGAGGGCATCAGGTTTTCCATTCTTCGCACCCGGTCGGTAGGTAACCACAAAGTTGAAGGAAGACAGCGTTAGGGACCAGCGAGCTTCGCGACGGTTAAGAATCTTCGTGGTCATGAAGTGTTCCAGGTTCTTGTGGTCGCAGTATACCGTGATCTCCTGGTTACTCGGTTCCAGGTACTTTCGCCATTCCTCAAACGCACCGACAATCGCCAGCAGCTCCTTGTCATAGATGTCGTAGTTGCATTCGGCAGGCGTCATCTTGTGGGAGTAGAAGGCCACTGGGTGTAAGATTCCTTGGTCGTCTTTCTGGGAGAGTACGGCGGCCGCGACAAAATCAGAGGCATCGGTTTCCAATATGCAGGCCCGTTCGGGGTCAAAATGCTTCAGTATTGGTGCCGTAGTGAAAGCTTCTTTTAGCTGGTTGAAGGCGTGGTCCGCAGCGGGGGTCCATACAAACTGGGCATCCTTCTTTAGCAGATTGGTCATCGGAGATACCACTTTAGAGTAGTCGCGGATGAATCTCCGATAGAAATTTGCGAATCCCAAAAAGACCTGTATGTCGTGTACCGAGGTAGGTGTTTTCCACTCCTGTATCGCCTTGGTTTTGTCGGTAGCCATGGTAACCCCTTCGCCCGATATGATGTACCCTAAGTATTCCGTACGATCGACATGGAACTCGCACTTCTCAGGCTTGCAGTGGAGCCCTGCCGCTTGTAGTTTGTTCAGGATGGTGTTGACATGTCGCTGGTGTTCCTCCTCCGTGTTCGAGTAGATCAGGATGTCGTCGAGGTACACAGTACAGAAGTCGTCGAGGTGGGTCCGGAGGGTGTCGTTCATGAAGGCTTGGAAGGTGGCGGGTGCGTTTGTGAGTCCAAAGGGCATCACCAAGTATTCGAACAGTCCATACCGAGTCCGGAAAGCGGTTTTCCATTCCTCCCCTTCTTTTATCCTTATCTGATTGTACCCATTGCGGAGGTCCAGCTTAGTGTAGATCTTGGCGTCCTTGAGTCTATCCAGGGTATCGTTAATCAGCGGCAGTGGATAGCGGTTCTTGACCGTGAGGGCATTGAGGGCGCGATAATCCACACACAGTCGTAGGGAGCCATCCTTTTTCTTAATGAACAGGACAGGGGCTCCGGCGGGGGAGGAAGAAGAGCGTATGTAACCTCGAGTCAATTGGTCATCAAGGTATTCCCGAAGGGTCTTCAATTCTTCTGACGACATGCCGTATAATGGGCCAAATGGCGGTTGCTTGCCTTCTTGCAATGGGATCTCGTGGTCGATATACCGATGGATAGGGAGCGCTTGGGCCTCTGATTCCTGGAATAGGTGGAGGTACTGGTGGTAGGTGGTAGGGACCAATTCTTCGGTGGAGTTAGACGGCGCTGGGTTCGGACCGGCGGGACGGGCAGCCAGGAGGAAGAGGTGGTTTTCGGGCTGTTGTGCTTCCCTACGGAAACGGGCCGCCGACAGGGTGATGGTACGGTGAAGAGCGGGGGGCCTCGGGGGTATCGGAGGTGGTGGCAGGGTGGCGGCGGCGGCAGTCAGCGGGGAGGAAGCGAGGGTGGAGGTCCATAAGGCAGCGGTATGTTGTCTGCATCGGTCGGCATGGAAGGAAATGGATCGATCAGCGAATCGAATTTCGGCGGCGTGGTGTTGGAGCCAGGGGAGCCCCAGTACTACCTTAGCGTCACCTAATTGGGTGACGAATAAGGAGATCCCTTCCACGTGGGTGCCTACTTCGAGGCGGAGCTTACAGGAATGAGTGATGTCTCCGGAGGCGATAGGTCGACCGTCGATTACCTGTAACTGCCTCGGCCTGGGAAGCGGCTCGGTGGAGTAGCCGCGGGATTGGGCAAACGAGGCATCGATAAATCCGTACCCAGTGGCTCCGGTGTCGACTAGGGCGTGGAGATTTTCCTTGTTCTTAGACAGCAGTATCGGTAACTCGAATGGTTCACAGTCGCCGGGATGGTGGAGTTGCCTAATCTTAAGTCTGGCACCTATCCGTCTTGACCGTAGTAGTCGCATGGCAGTATGGGGGCCGGGGCCGTTCTCGACATGGGCTGTACCATGATGGAGGGTGACGAGGGCGGGGAGTAGTGGGGCTCCTAGCTGGTGGAGGGTGTTCAAGACCTTAACCGGAGATGGGTAAGGTCCTAACCCGGTGAGGTACGGCCGGAAAGGTATGGGGGCTAGTGCCAAAAAACACCAGCCCGGGTCATTCCTTGTCGGCCGTCCCCAAGGAATGGAGCGTCGGAGGAGGCGGCATTGTAGGCGGCGAGTACGCCGGGATGGCTTCAGTGGTGGGATGTGGTCGGCGAGTGGTTCTTTCGTGGCCTGCATGTAGAGTCTACAGAGAAGGCAGGCTATAGGCCAGGCTAGAAGGAAGAGTGCGGCGTTCGTAAACATTAGAATGGTGTCTGTGGTCTCCGCGGAGAGCGAGGGTATCGATGGTCGCCTAAGCGAGGTGAGTTGGTGGGTGTCAGTCGACCCTAAGCGACGCAACATAGTGTAAGGAACCATGGGCGAGATATAAGCTGAGGGGTCGAGGGACATGGTTAGGTTCCCCGAGGGAAGGGACAGGCCTCGCGCGAGGGCGAGGGATGACGCAGTGGTGTACCCAAAGGCAGGGACAGAGGTCTGTACGCGGACAGCGGAGAGGACAGCGACGAAGGTCTGTACGAGGACAGAGGTAAGGGTCCGTACGAGGACGGAGATAACGGCGGTCGGCATGTTAACCGAACGGAACGAGGCGAGGAATAGAGAGGCGGCGAAGATCATGACAGCGGGCGCGCCGGGCATAAGGGACAGCAGACGTAACGGGGACTGAGAGTAAAAGCAATGTATTAAAGCGAGGAAAATCCCCAAAGTAATAACCCACAGTAGAATACAAGATGTTGCGTAAGGAAAGAGAAGGAAAGACAACAGAAGAACAAGCAACTCTATATAGTAAGAAGATAACAACCGATTACTAATCCCACGGAACCTTCCAGACTTCCTAATAACTCATACGTTTGGTATAGCCGTGTAGTTCGTAACAAGGGAGATCTACCTTTCACATTAATGAGGAGGCAGTTGCCTATTCGGCTATGCTTTGCGATGACCGTCAATAAATCGCAGGGTCAATCACTGGATGTTGTTGGGGTTGACTTGAGGTCTGATCCCTTCACTCACGGGCAGCTCTATGTAGCGCTCTCGAGAGTCACAGATGTAGCTGGCTTGATGGTGCTGCAACGAGATGAGACACCGTCTCAAACAGACAACATTGTATACCGTGAAGTGCTGCTGTAAAGAAGTAAGTCCCTTTAATCCATATTTTTATTGATACTGTTTCATGGATCGACTAGTGGAGGTACGGGGTTATGAAGAGTCGGATTAGTCAGAAAGGTTCTATTGGGTTCTACCGGGTTCCGTTGATTGTTAATGTATGAGTCAGGTTGGATTTGTCATCGTTGGAATTTCCTTGAAGTATATTAAGGGGGGTTTTGTTTGTATTTTGTCTTCTTCTTCTTCTTCTTTCTTTACGCAACGTCTTCTGTATCTACGCTGTCTATTACTGCTTAATATCATCGTCCTCTTCTTTCCTCAAGAAGACCACCGCCTCGCTTTCTCCTTGTCTCGTCGAACCTTACCAACGCTAAGAGCTCCGTAGCATCCCTATTGCGAGCTCCCCTACCGTCCCCTATTACACTCTTCGTACTCTGCGGAATACTCGCTACTCACCCCCTTGAGATACTGACTGTCGGTTAGGATATAAAGGATTTGTGCTGGAGCCGGTTGAAGGACTCGGGGGTATATGATTGGAGGAGTTAGATGGTGGATTTCTGAATAGATGGTATGTATATGCTGCGAGCTGACAGATTGGTATATTACACTAACAATTATTATAGGTTCTTGGTAAGGGAAGGGAAAGAGAGCTGGGTTACGGTATTGGGTGTAGGATGGGGGAATGGAAGAAGTCGGAGGACTGGGTATCGAATGGTAAGTATATATCTCAATAACGTACTCCATGGAACTGCTAACCAAACGTATAGGTAGAACAAATTCGGGAAGTGGTGGAAAGGATCAGGGCATGGAGGAAATAGGATAGAAGGATGGACTTGCAGGCGGGAAAAAGGGCTGGAAATGGCGAAGGAAACGGTGGGATACGGGATAGTGGAGGAAATGGGATGGCAGGTGGGAGGAAACTTGATAGAAAAGTGGAGGAAACGGGGAGGAATTGGAGTTGGATTAAAAGCGGTGGACTGTATTTAGTTAGCACTTTGTATTTCTTTAGCGTGTATGTTTCCTTACATTTACCTGTCTTATTCCCTGTCTTATTGTTGTTTTCTAGAGTGTTCTCTTTGTAATAGAAATATATAACACTGTTAAAAAAAACATATAATTAGTAGAAAAAAACTGCATCGAGTTACCCCGGTTATTTACCCCATTCCCCGACTATGATCGTGTGAATTTATTAATTTTGTCACAGACTGCCGGATGGAGTAAATAACCGGGGCATTACACTCTTGGATCGTTGATCTCAAGGGAATGAGTAGCGAGTATTCCGCAGGGCACGAAGAGCGTAGCAGGGGACGGTGTGGGAGCTCCACGATATGGGTCTTACGGGGCTCTAGCGTCGGTAAGGTTTGAAGGGGACGAGAACAAAGCGAGGCGGTGGTCTTCTTGAGGAAAGAAGAGAACGAGAGTATTATATAGCAATAGACAGCGTAGATACAGAAGACGTTGCGTAAAGAAAGAAGAAGAAAAAGAACGAGAAGTACAAACAAACCCCATTTAATATACTCAAGGAAATCCAGCGATGACAAATCCAACATGACTCATACATTAACAACCAACAGAACCCGGTAGAACCCAATAGAACCTTTCTGACTAATCCGACTCTTCATAACCCCGTACCTCCACTGATCGATCCATGAAAGTAGCCCCTCCCTTCAAGCGCGAGCTCCTGCGAGCCTTAACCTTAATCTTTCCTTCCAATGGTCCAGGTTTGTCGGGGTAGCGTATATGGAAGATATCAACGGTGGCGGTGTTATCGTGGTATGCGGCGGGTTCCAGGTAGGGTCGGTATAGCCCGTCCACTTAACAAAGTATTGTAGGCCAGTGTTTCGTAATTCTCGCGAGTCCAAGATTTCCTCAACTGCATACTCCTCCTCTTGTTCGACGATAATGGGCGGGGGTGGTGGTTGAATTTGCCCTAGGACAGGATCATTCGCAACGGGGTCCAGCAATGACACATGGAAGACGGGGTGCATCTTCAGACTCCTAGGCAGGTCGACTCGATACGCATATGGCGATATAATTTCCTTAACGGGGAACGGTCCCAGTTTCTTCCAGTCCAGTTTCCGGGAGTTACGCGTGGTTCGGATGTTTTTTGCTGAAACAAACACCATATCACCGACATCGTACTGTGGGGCCGGCGTTCGTTTAGTATTGACGGCCTGCTCTTGTTGATCCTGCGCTGTACGGATATTGGAACGTAGGTGCTCGTGGAGTTCTTTCATCTTCGAGGCGAAGTCTTTAGCGTTAAGACTCGGTGGGGTCTTGTCCAACGATTTGATCGTTACTGTAAACCGGGGGTGGAACCCATAGTTCACGAAGAATGGTGTAGCTTTGGTGGATACGGAGACCTGATTGTTGGCGGAGAATTCTGCCATAGGAAGCCATTTTACCCAATCGTCCTGTTGATAAGAGACATACCCACGTAGATATTGCTCCATTACAGCATTCAGCCTTTCGGTTTGGCCGTCGGTCTCTGGGTGGAAGGCGGTGGACATCCTTGCTTCGATGTTGAGGTGTTTACAAAGAGCCTTCCAAAACTTAGCTGTAAATTGCGTACCGCGATCGGAGGTGACGTGTGTGGGTAGCCCGTGGAGCTTCCATATGTTTCGCAGGTATAGTCAGGCGACGTCTTCGGAGTTGACAGTAGTATTGCAGGGCAGGAGATGTCGCATCTTTGTTAGCCAGTCAACCACTACCATAATTGCATCGTACCCTTCACTTTCCGGTAGGCCCGTAACGAAGTCCATCGATACCTCCCGCCATGGTTGTTCGGGAATCGGTAAAGGTCGAAGTACGCCGAGTTTTCCATGGGTGTTGGGTTTACTTCGTTGACAGGTGTGACAGTTCCGAACGTAGCGGGCAATGTAATTTCGCATGAGGGGCCAATAGTAGTCCCGACTGACGAGTTCGAATGTTTTTTCACGTCCCGGGTGTCCAGCAGAGGCAGCGTCATGGTAAAGTTGGAGGATTCGAAGCTTAAGGGGGTCGTAATCAGGGACATATATGCTGCCTCGGTAAAGCAATCGGCCTTCAACCTCGGTGCATTCGGCGAGTGATATGTCTTTTGATTGTCGATCGCCTTTATTCCGCATATCCAGTATTTTTTGGGGAAACGGGTCAGCGCTATATCCTTCATCAAATAATTCCTGCAGTGAGGCGTTCTTTTCAGCGGGCTCATTTGAGAAAGAACCCGCCAACAAACTTAGCTTTGCATCAAGATTCTCCTTCTTCAACACAACTTGACTCTGATGCAATTGTCTTTCATCCCCCTCTCCAGGGAGATCTCCTGATCTTCTTGTCAACGCGTCCGGTTTCCCTCCTTGTTTCCCTGGTCGGTATTTGATAACAAAATTAAATCGTGACAGGTATTCTGCCCACCGTGCTTGTCTCCGGTTGAGCTGTTTAGTACTCATAAAGTATTCGAGGTTCTTATGATCGGATATGACGGCGATTGGGTGTGCAGCCCCTTCAAGTTCCGGTCGCCACTCTTCAAAAGACCGAATGATTGCCAGTAATTCCTTGTCGTAAATCTCGTAGTTGCATTCGGCGGGGGAGTGTTTTTTCGAGAAGTACGCAACAGGTCGGAGGATACCATTGTCATCGTAATGGGAGAGTACACCGGCGGAGACATAGTCAGATGCGTCGGTTTCCACAGTAATTTCCTTTTCCGGGTCGAAATGAGTGAGAATGGGCGCCGTGGTAAAGGCTTCTTTCAGGGCATTGAAGGCGGTTTGGGCTTCGCGTGTCCATCCAAATGATGTGTCCTTACGTGTCAGTTTGGTAAGAGGAGAAGCCAGTTCCGAGAATCCGCGTATAAATCGGCGGTAAAAGTTAGCGAAACCTAGGAATGCTTGTACATCCTTAACTGTTTTGGGGACGGTCCAATTCTTCACCGTCTCCACTTTCCTTGGGTCCATTTTAATACCATTGGGTTCGATAATCAGGCCGAGATAGGTGGTGCTTTGTGTGTGAAATTCGCATTTCTCCGGTTTCAGCAGTATTCCATTTTTTTGTAGGGCTTCCAGTACTTTTTCGACGTGTACTTGATGTTCCTCGAAGGTGTCGCTGTAAATAAGGATATCGTCAAGGTAGGCTGTACAGAACATGTCAAGGTAATCACGGACGCAATCATTAATAAAATGTTGGAAGGTGGCTGGTGCATTGGTAAGGCCGAAGGGCATTACGGTGTATTCGAAATGTCCGTAACGCGTTCGGAAGGCTGTTTTCCATTCCTCACCCTCAGCCATTCGAATCTGATTGTACCCTTGGTGAAGATCAAGCTTGGTGTACCACTTGGCTTTGGAAAGGCGATCGAGAGTTTCCCGGATAAGTGGTAGCGGGTAGCGGTTTTTGACAGTAAGTTCGTTGAGGCCACGATAGTCGACACAAAGGCGGAGTGTTCCATCGGCCTTTTTAACAAATAGGACAGGGGCACCGGCAGGCGAAGAGCTGGCCTGAATGAACCCCTTTTGAAGGTTGTCCTGTATGTATTGTTTCAGCACGATGAGTTCCTCGCGGGATATACCATAAAGTGGCCCAAAAGGGGGCTCTTTCCCTTCCTTGAGCGGTATCTTATGATCATAGGGGCGGCGTGGCGGCATCCCGTTAGCGAATTCTTCGTCCATCATTTTATGAAATCTCTCATACCGGGTTGGGACCCGGTTCCTCCAGTCTTGCTTAGGGGCCACGCCCGTTGCTTGATCTATTTCTTCAATAGTTGTACTAAAGATTTGGAGTTTGTCTCTTCGAGCAAAGCGACAAAGAGCAGCTGAACTGACGAGGTGAAAACGGGGCGGTGGTGCAATCCCTCTAATGGGAACGGGTATCGGGGAAGAGTTGCACTTGCGTTTGCAGTATTCGGAGTCGAACAGTATGCTGTTGTCCTTAAACCGTAATGTTGCATCGTGCAATTGAAGCCAGGGGATTCCGAGGACGAGTAGATACGAGCCAAGTTTGGTGACGAAGAAAGGGGTAGTTTCATGGTGGGAGTCAATGGACAGCGGCAGATAGCAGAGGTGGGTAATTTGTCCGGAATATATGGGCCGACCGTCGATGACTTCAAGGGTGCGGGGTGATTTAAGGGGGAGAAGTGGGAAGTTGTTATGGCGCGCAAATGTTTCATCAATGAATGCGAATCCGGAGCAACCGGTATCGATCAGTGCGTGGGTTTGAATGGATGTTTTATTGTTTATAATTTTACAAGAAGCAACAAAATGATCCCCATCCAATTTATCCTCCACAGACGATACCGAGAAGCCAGAGATAGAAAACGCAGACAAAGGAGAGACATTGGAAGGTCCCGGACAGGGGCCATTGATCAAGCCCGGGACTACTGATAACCCGACTCAGAGGAGGCGGGACTAGCGACCGGTGGAGCAGCGGTGTCGACGGCCGTATGGCTGGGTGCGAGGAGGGCGCCTCTCATAACCGGTTGGTTACCGAGCGGGCGATTGGCAGAGGGGCAGTTGGCAAAGACATGACCGGGGTTGGCACAGTACATACAGAGATTGTTGTCCCTTCGCCATTGTTTTTCAGCGGCGGAGGTTTTGCGTTGTCCATTGACAAAAGTATATCGTTGTTCGATGGCAGGACGTTGAGTGGGGCGGCTTTGGAGAGCGGAGAGGTCCATTGGGGCGAGGCCTCCGGCGGTATGAGATGGGTGTGCGGCAGCGGCGGGGGCGGTGAATTTTCCCATTGTATTCCGAATGGCCCGTTGTTCAGCTTTGCGGCCCCGAACCTGGTTGTCGATTGTCATCAACATGGTGGCATAGGCTTCGACGGTGTTAGGCCTGTCTGTCCGGTATGTCATGGCATCCTTCAGGTCTTCCGACAGTCCGTCGGCCAGGGCATCGATCTTGGCTCCCTCGTTGTAGTCCAGGTATGCCACGATGCAGAGGAACTGCGAATAATAGGTAGCGAAGTCCCCTTTGCCTTGCTTCAGGGCAACGAGTTGGCGACGGGCGGTACCCCGGGGGTCTGGGTCCCCAAAGGAGGCTTCCAAATGGGCGACGAAGGCAGTGACAGAGGAGAAGGGGGCGGCAGGGTTAGCGTTAACGAGTGGGACGACTTGGTCAAGGGCCCTTCCTTCCAAGCGGCTGACGGCGTAGATAACCTTTGCTGCCTCGTTCCGGAACCGATCGTGGTTAACTTCAAGTTTCATTCGAAGTTGGGTAGTGAATCCGGGGAGCTTGGTACGGGTGCCATCGAATTTTTCAGGGTCTGGAAACTTTTCGGACCTGAAGGCGGGGACAGGAGTAGGTGGAGGGGCGGGCGCAACGGGGACAGCGACGGTAGGGGCAGGAGCAGCGCGGGCGACATTGAGGTCGAGGTTGAGCCGGTTTATCTGCTCCTCGAGGTTGTCAATGGTTTCGTTGGCAGCGGTGAGTTGTGTATGAAGGGTGTCCCTTTGGAGGTGGACACGCTGGACGAGGGTGGCGATGTTGTCGAATAGTTCAGCAGGGCCGGCCTCATACATCTGCCTGAATTCCTCTACATCTTTGGGTGCATTCCATGCAGGTGGGTCGGGGGTGGACATATCGTACGGTGCGGATGACGACGCAACGTAATCTCAAGGGAATGAGTAGCGAGTATTCCGCAGGGCACGAAGAGCGTAGCAGGGGACGGTGTGGGAGCTCCACGATATGGGTACTATGGGGCTCTAGCGTCGGTAAGGTTTGAAGGGGACGAGAACAAAGCGAGGCGGTGGTCTTCTTGAGGAAAGAAGAGAACGAGAGTATTATATAGCAATAGACAGCGTAGATACAGAAGACGTTGCGTAAAGAAAGAAGAAGAAAAAGAACGAGAAGTACAAACAAACCCCCCTTAATATACTCAAGGAAATCCAGCGATGACAAATCCAACATGACTCATACATTAACAACCAACAGAACCCGGTAGAACCCAATAGAACCTTTCTGACTAATCCAACTCTTCATAACCCCGTACCTCCACTGATCGATCCATGAAAGTTGACTGTTTCCAGCCTCCCCAAGCGGACAACCGTCTTCCTATAAGAGACATAAATGCCAAAGTTATAGGGTTATCAATGACACATCCTCTAACTAATGTCTGAATTTCACAGCTCGCGCTCCCGCCATGAGTTGAACCCATAGCATTGAGGACATGTATCAGATATCTACCACTAAGCTAAGTACCTTTGTTGCACCAGCAACTCTTTTGGACCCTAAATACCTTGCAAGTATTATTTTTTATTTTTTAATTTTTTTATTTTTTATTATTTTTTTTTTTTTTTATATGTAATTTAATATAATATTTCCGCTGCCTAAATTGCGCACACAACTCGCGGTCGCGAGGTGGCTCACCCCTAGTCTAATATGTACTACGATAGAGCAGTTTCGCGCTCGGTTGAACCCTGACCCTGATATCTGAGTGGCAACCAATCCGCCCCACCAAATCGCCCGTGGTCAACCAACAGCGGCCAATGCCCAGTCAATCAAAACAAAATGTAGGAGTAATAAATTATATCTTAATAATTAAATTATATCTTAATAAATAAATGTGCTATCTAATATCTTCTATAGTGTATCTACTGGAGTACACTTTAAGGGGTACTTTGGTACATGTATCTTTGGTGCGGTTCCCCGCTGACACGCCGGCCCATAACCTTAACCCTGACCGCTGTGTGGCAACCAATCCGCCCCACCCAGGCCGGTCAACACCCGGATCAACACCCGGGCCGGTCAACACCCGGTCAACAGCCGGGCCTATTCAATTAAACAAAATATTGGAATACTATAAATAGGGACTGCCCCCCCCCCCCCATCCCACCATCTTTTAAAACAATTTTGATCAACGAAAAACAACAATGAATTCCATAACGTGCCGTAAATGCAAATGGGAGAAACCTCTTGAAGAGTACGATCTGAATAATTAAGGAGAACCACGTAAATCATGTCGTACATGTTTGGTATGTATTGTTGAATCTTTCCGGGTGACAGTTATACTTTGCTCTAACAAATTGTATAGCAACTAGAGAGAGAACGAAGAACAGCAAGTAGAGCCGTAAGATTAATGTAGGAAGAAAATAATATAGAGGTATTACGATTTTGGTTATTGAATGTTTTTTCGGATGGTTTCTAACAGTAATCCAGCTCCGTCCGGTTTTACCAGTTGCAGCGCCCTCTCCAATGGCATTTCTATCTTCCCGAACAAAATGGTCACTATTGATACTTGGGCGTATTCCAATTGTTTGCCAATCATGCAAAGCTTTGCATTGGCTAAATGAACGTTCAAGCTGCACCGGGAGATCAATTCAAACACCAATATTTGAGAATTGTTGCAAGAAGGGAGACGTTGTACTTGAAATTCTTAAACCCCCTTCTGATTATCTGAAGTACCTGTTGCAATCTTTAGAAACTGTCCCAAGAAACTTCCGGAAACATATACGGGAATATAATTCAGCACTTACATTTACCTCAGTCAAATACAATATGGATACGAGAGTTGGCGCAAATGGCGGTGGTATAAGTTGCTTTCAAATTCATGGTGAATTATATTATCTTCAGAGACCATTGGTACCAGCAATCGGAGCAACCCCTTCCTTCGCACAACTATATATGTACGATTCAGAATATTCAGCTCAAGAACGACATGGAATACTTCCAACTTTAGATATTATGGTACTTCAATGTCTCACCATGGAGTTAAATTCAATAAATCCGTTTATTGAATTTTATAAAACAGCAAAAGAAAGATTGGATAATGCTTCAATACAAGATGGGAATGCACGCGTCATACTTAATCCACGTCTTCAATTGATAGTTGAAACAGGAGCAGATAAACGACGAAACAACTTACCTACAAGTAACGAGGTGGCGGTAATAATTCCCAATGAATATGAAGAAGCTGGATTCCGTGAAATTGTATTGGCACATAGAAATCCATTGCCAAATCAAATGTTCAGTATCATCAATCCTAACCATGCTGCGTATATGCCATTGCATTACGTATTGCTTTTTCCAAATGGAGATACCGGTTGGCATTGGAGTTTACAACTTCAAGATCGATTGAATAATCGGAAAGTATTGCGTTTAGGTTAACGTGAATTTTATCGGTATGTTTAATATATTATCATAGAAATCATTACTAACTTATTACAAAGCTATCGTATTGATTCACGTTCAACCGAGCCTTTAACACTATTTCAATCTCAAAAGCTTTTCAGCAATATTTGGTTGACGCATGAGCTGTATTTGATCAGAACAAACTGAATTGGATACGTTTGAATCAATCAAGACTCTGATCCGATTTGTATAATGGCCTGGCCGATGCTATACTTCAAGAACACTTCAATCCAGAACAAACCGGATGGAGAATAATACTTCTTAGCAGCTATAGCGGTGGTGATCGTTATATGCAAGAATTATACAAGGATTCAATAGCTATCATAAGACACTTCGGAAGACCTTCACTTTTCACCACATTTACAGCGAAGCCTAAATGGTCGGAAATCGTTGCAGAGTTACTTCTAGGTCAAACAGCTATCGATCGTCCAGATTTAGTTGCGAGAGTTTTTCATCTCAAACAACAAAAGCTTTTGTAGGAAATTAAACATAATTATATTCTTGGACATTACCTCGGATGTGTCTGGACTATTGAATATCAGAAACGTGGTTTACCACATATGCATCTTCTATTATTTTTAAACCCTGAGGACAGATTCATGACTTCTGAACGTATTGACCAGATTGTATGTACTGAATTGCCGGATCTTCAATTTGATCCCGATAGTGAACTCACAGCTGTTGTCAAATCATGTATGGTGCATGGCCTATGTGGAGAATTGGCATTCGATTCACCATGTATGATCTCGAAAACACCTGATGCACCTCGACTTTGCACCAAACGGTATCCTAAACAATTTCAGAATGAAACTGTTATACAAGAAGATGGATACCCATTATATCGACGTCGTAATGATGGTAACAACTTTATGGTTCCTTTAAGAGGTTCACGAGATGTTCGAATGCATACTTTTGATAACAGATGGATTGTGCCTTATAATCCTTATTTGTCCTAGTGTTATAAAGCAAATATAAACGTTGAAGTATGTGCAACAATCAATGCAATTAAATATATTCACAAGTATATTTACAAAGGATCCGACCGTACAACTCTGGAAGTGGATTCAAATTCGGATGAAGTCAAAAGATATTTGCAAGGTCGATACATTGGTCCAACAGAAGCTGTTTGGCGTTTGTTTGAATTCTCAATGCATGAAAAATCTCCAGCTGTTATTCATCTCGCAATCCATATGTCAAATGAACAGCCTATATACTTTGAGGTGAATATCAATGAACAGGCTTTACGGGAGAGAATGCTGTTAGCGAAGTCAACGCTCATTACATTCTTTGAATATAATCAGTTACATGAAGATGGACAACAATATCTTTACCAGGATTTCCCACCACACTTTACTTACAATCCACAACTCCGGAAATAGGCACCTAGAAAATGCGGTATTGCAATTGGCCGTATGTATCATTGTAATCCTTTAGTCGGAGAGAAATATTATCTCCGTCTATTATTGACAGTTGTTCGTGGTGCCCAATTATTTGAGCATAATTCTGGAAGTTTATATTAAAGCAAACTCCATTAAATTACACATACTTTCAGCTCACTGGCACTGGCATCGGTACTGTAAAAACCGGAGTCACCACACCCACCCGCTCTTCCCAAAATTTGATCACATTCAAGCTCACACTTCGCCCTGGCGAGGTGGCCAACTGCTAGTTTAATATGTACTCTGTGTTACCAGCTCGCTATGTCGATTCACCATTGGGTAACAAAGGAAAATAACAAATCGTATGTACTAAATATATATATCAGCGATGAACAGGAGGACTCCGCGAACCCAATTAACGCCGCAACCTTCCGCCTCTCAATTGGCAAGCCCGCCAATAATATATACAGCCCAAAAGGGGCGCTTAGAGGTTGTTAGAGAAATATATACTTGAGTTGCTACAGCTTGCATGGCGAAGGAATCCTTCTGTTACGTTAGAAACTGGCAAAATTGAATTTGGCGGGCCGGTTGCGCCGTTGGTGGTAGGTTGGCTGGTTGGCGGTAGGTTGGCTGGTTGGTGGTAGGTTGGCTGGTTGGCTATGGGCCGCCGCCGGGCAACACGGGGTTTGGAAACCGTTGCCGCCCGTCGGTCCGCTAAGCAGGCATTTGCACCGCACTTCCTTGGCGACCTTCTTGTGTTTATGGCTTCTCTCCACACAACCCCAAATTGACTTGCGGGTATATACACCCCGACGAGCAACCCAAGTTCAACGCCTGGTGTCCCTATGTGAAATTTCTATAGCAAAGGTATTGTGCGCCCAGCCGACTCAACGGTAAAAAGAAGATCAATCGCTTATAACTTTACAAGTTAGACCGATTTTCCATATATCATGCTGAACTGAGTGGAAGAGTGTTAATACCCATTTATCTCCCCGGAAAGTAAATCCGACTGATATGTGGCAGTCAGTGATGCAGCAAAACTACTAGAAGTGAGCCTTCTGATTGGCCTACGAGCCACTTCCACGTGCGTACCATACTTGCTACACAAATCATGTTCATTGGGTCCAGCGCAGGGCTGCCGTTTCGCGAACTGACAAAGAAGCCTGCAATATCTAGATACGTATTTTCTCCGGAGACAAGTCTATCGAAGGATACCCGCGGAAAGAGAGTTTCCTTCAACGGAATATAACAATTCCTCCTTCGACCGTCGGCCCAGGACGATAAAATTTATAAGTATTCAGCCTCCAAATGCACCCCGATTCCAATCCTGCCTGACGACCCCCGAGACATGCATGTGCAGCGAGCGAGTGTGGGATACAGCCTAGCCTACCCGCCTGTGGCTTGCCTGAGCCGAGTGCTGCTGGCGGTACTCGGGCATGGGAGAAAGAACCAGAAAATGCAATAGGGTTATTTGTATGGCAGAGAGGCGCCACTCCATACAAATAATCCTTGTATCCTCACTTGCATTTTCTGGTTCTTATGCCCACACCCGAGTACATACGTAGATACGGCAGCCTTATTTCAGCCTCTCAGTGTGATATGGAGTATGGACACCGGCGTCCATCCAGAAATATACAACCTCATTCCGTGGCAGGACACCATCATGGTCGCTTACTCCAAGAGCTCACTACCTAGCCTCCTCCTCACCGCCCGCTTATCCATCACCTCTTTCCTCAATATTTCCCAGACCTCCAGCGCCCGCGAGGTGCACGCCGAACTCGCGGTCCTCCAGGACCTACTCCGCAGTATCTCAGATATAAAAGACGACCTGCAGCTGCCCCCAAGTACAAGTAATGCAGCTCGCGCTACGGGGCATACAGAGCTAGAAAGCCATCTCCGCACGCTCACAACGCTCCTGTCAGCCACGTCACCGGCTCTGTGGTCGAAACGCCAGTGGGCCGAGACACTGGCTGGGGTGAAGACCGTCAGGGAGCAGATAGCCGCTTACCATGCACAGACGACCCGCCGAGCAGCCAACACCCCCGCACCCACAAGGCCAGACGCAGAGGGTACTGACTCCTGCCCATTATCCTATTTCACCCCGCTGCATGCTGATATGGAATTAGCTATCCGCACCTGGCTCACCCACACCCCCGACAGCGCCCACCGTCACGCCGAGCTCTGCTTCCAGCGTCACACGGGCAGCTGCTCCTGGTTACTGTCTTCGCCGCAGTGTGCCCGCTGGCTGCGCGGTGATGTGCCGTGGCTGCTGTGTACAGGCGAGCGTATGCCCCCCCATCCCCTACCAAAGAAAGTAGAAAAGATACGTAGAATGCTGGCTGACAGCTATTGGGAACAGCGGGCACGGGAAAGACATTCTTAACGTCCCTATCCCTCCTTCTCCCCCTTGAGTGTCCAGGAGTATCCACTAACACCCGATATACAGCTCATACCTTATCGACCACCTCTCCACGCTCGGGAAACAGGGTGTCGCGGTCTTCTACTTCAATCGCATGGACACGCTGCGACAGGACCCGTGCTGTGTTTTCCGCTCCATCCTGTTACAGCTCTTGACATTGGCGGCCGCCATTCCACCATTCACCGCCGAGCTGTACAATACGCACTCCATCCCTACACTCTCAGAGCTCCGGACCGCGATTGGTGAGTGTGCGGGTCAGTTTGAGTGCTCGTGGATACTCCTCGATGGCCTCGAGGAGTGTGCGGAGGTGCACCGCGCCGACATCCTCTCAACGCTATGGGCGCTCAGGTTCCGTCGAATGCGCGTGTTCGTCACGAGTGCTCCGGGGGTAGTGGACCTGTGGAGGAATGAGAGCTCCGAGATTTTAGATCTGGAAGGGCTGGTAGAGGCTAGCAGGGAGGAGACGGTGAAGGGTGTGAAAGCAGTGGTGAGAAAAAAGATGGGTGTGGCCCGGTGGCGGCGGGCGGTGGAGGGGGGCGCGAAGGAGGTCGAGGAAGTGATGGGAAGGATAGTGGAGAGTGCAGGTGGTGTGTAAGTGTTTTGTCTTCTTCTGGAGACTGAAGGCTTGAATGCGGCTAACGGTAATGGCGGTGTATAGGTTCCTGCTCGCGGTGCGCCTGACGGAGTATGTCCGGTCCGCCACCACCGAGGACGAACTCCAAGCCCGCTCCAACGAGCTCCCCGGAAGCGTGACGGACTACTACGCAGCCACCATGAAGACCCTACGAGACTCTGGCCCTCTCGGAATCTCCGTGCTCGAGCAGATCATTGCCTCCCCCCGCCCCCTTACCCTCCCCGAGCTCAATTACCTCGTCGGCGTCGCCGCCGGTGGCGAGGGCTTGATGGACCACCCATACACGCCGTCCTACGTCTCCGTGATCACCAAAGGCCTCATCACCGCCGCCGAGCCCACGGGTATCTGTCGCCCGGTGCACCCAAGCCTGCTGTGCTTCCTGGAGACAGCGGAGCCCGACCTGTGGGTGCACGCGAGAAAGAAGGCCCTGGGCACATATTTCCGCCTGTTTGCGGCACGCCCCGGGGGTGGTGGTGAGGTGGCGAAGGGCCTGTACCAGTGCGCGGTCCTTAACTGGGCGGTGTATCTGCAGATGCACCATGACGATAGGTCGTTGCAGATGGTGGTGATGGACGCATTCAGGAGTGCCCCAGAGGCCCTCGGTGAGGCACTGCGGGCGGCCATGCGAGGAAGCTCGGCGCTGCCGGTGGTGCGGACCGGGCGGGCGGGGGTGCTGCACGCGTGTGCGTATTGGGGACTGACAGCGCTGGCTGAGCGGGTGCTCGATGAGGGCGGCGGGCCGGTGGCCGTCGACGGCGAGGACGGCGTGGACGGCGTGGACGGGTATGGCCGCACACCGCTCTCGTGGGCTGCGGAGCGCGGGTCGACGGATGTGCTGAGGGCGCTGGTGGGCGCGGGTGCGGCGCTGGACGTAGCGTGCGGCGATTATGCGCAGCCGCCACTTTGCTTTGCGGCCATGGGCGGACACAGGGCGGCGGTGGAGGCGCTACTGTCGGCCGGGGCAGACCCGAACCAGAGCTCCGATAACGGGCAGACGGCCATCTCCTGGGCGGCCGAGCACGGGCACCAAGATACTGTCAGCCTTCTGATGGGGACACAGCTCGGAATAGACGTGAATGCGCGTGATAATGCGGGGAGGTCAGCGCTTGACTGGGCCGTCCACAACGCACATGAGCCCGTTGTGCGCCTACTTGTCGCTCACAAAGACATCGAGATTGACAGTGACGCGGTGTGGCCACCACAGCCAGCGCCGACTCCGGTACCTCCCGCGATCATAGAGCTGCTCGGAAAAGCGAGGAGAGCGAGGGAGGGGGAGGTTTGTGACGCTGCCACGCTCGTGGAGACAGTAAAGGAGGTCGAAGTGGTGAGTGTGGGCGGGGGCTGGGTTTGGGCATTGCCGAGGCAGACGCAGGAATGGGGCATCATTGTGGTGCTCTGGCTTGTCTCGTTGATGGCGTTGGGGGGGCAGCAGGTTGTGCTCATTTTTTGTGGGAGCGTATTTATTCTGCTTGGGGCTGTTTGGTTATGGCGGAAAATATTACTTGGACTGGGTACATAAGTACCTAAGATAAATCTTGGGCGGGTGGGGTACGCTGTTGATAATGATCTGCACAGATATACCTTCACTCCCGATATGTAGCAGAGTTGATGGGAAAGGTCACGATGGGAGAGCTCGAGCAGCACATCCTTTCGATACTGTATATAATTTCATGTAGTGGGTCATTTTACAATTAGTGGCGCTACTCACGGCGCTCGTCCGAGAAAGGCCGTCTTGCCCTCCCTGGTGTTCTTCCCGAGAGCCAACAAAGTAGAGGGTGAGCACATACACTTGCCCTAGTCCCCTATACCGGGTGCCAAAAATGCCAAAATCTGCTATAACGAACGGGTTTGGCGAATTTCACATGGAAATGATAGAATTTTACCTGCTGCACCGAGTAATCTGCTGTATCGAACGAGAAATTTTGGAATATGTAGGTTAGTTATAACGGAGGGCGACTGTAGTGGTAAGTTGTGTAGCGTGGCGGTTCAGGATTCAGTTTGGAAGAGGTAATGACTAGGGTTAGGGTTATTTATGGTTTGAGTGCACTTCCCCAGCTATAAAATTCTTCCCAACAATGAACGATCGCGAGCATTCAGACAAAAGACTAGTAGTGGCCCACACACCCCCCCAAAAAAAACCACAGATTGCCGTACTACTTGAGAGATCGAACATGCCAAGGCTGCAGTTAACTCTTATTATCCTTCGTTCCGACTAATAAATAGTATCATTCGGTCGTCCCTTAAGCTTCCCTAGCTAATAATGCGTTTCAGTTCGCACGATTCCCCCCCAGACAACAAAACCTCACTGCCGTTACTACACTCTCTGCTCTGGTCCCCTTTCATATAACGTTCTATCCCTAACTGAAACGGCCGTCAGTTCCTTCGGATATATGCTCTCTAGCTCTACTCATTGGTCTCGGGCGAGGCTCTCACGGAGTAAGGTAGATATAAAATATTTTATACTCATATCAAGCTTATGAAGTAGGTATATGGAAAATTGTTGAGCTGCAAAGGTTGGAAATACAACACAACAGGCATTCATAAATTTGGCATCTGTCTGATAAAGCACCAAGAGAAAAAAGAAATATTGCTGACCGGAGGAACAGGAAGATAGACCTTCATATCATGCGTCAAATCACTGGTGGTTGGGGATGGATATATTGGTCGGTGCCACTGCCACCGCCACTGCCACTACCTCTACCTCGGCTTCTGGCTCTGCTCTCTCCTCCACCACCACCTCTACTACCGCCACTGCCACTGCCACTGCCTCTGCCTCTGCCTCTGCCTCTGCCTCTGCCTCTGCCTCTGCCTCTGCCTCTGTTGCTACCTCTGTTGCTACCTCTGCTGCTGCGTCTACCTGTGTGTCGCAACTCTGGCTCACGCTAGAAAGGTCAGTGAGATCTGACTCGGTGTGCGCCATGTCATGCGCGCTATTATCGCCGCGGAGCCCTCTCCATGCATCCTTCACACAGCCCAGTGCATCCTATATATCACGGTTACGATCACCGTATTAGCAAAGAAGCTGGCAAGTGGTAATCATCGATGTGCCGTTGCTAAGGTCGTCCTACATACCTGGGCCATGGACCCTAGATTCCTCTCACACCGTCGTGCGGCAGCCGCCGCAAGTAAATCGTTCACCAAGAACCTCTCGTCGAGCACCACCGGATCCGGTTTGCTCCAGTCAGGCGACGTGTGTCGTTGGAGAGCGCTGTGGTATGTACGCCGCAGCACATCCCTCGAGACGATATATACGCCCTGGTCCGGCAGGTTCTGTCTCGCTAACCCGTCGGAGACTGTGTCCTGGGTTTCCTGCATGAACTTCTTCACACATTTGCAATACAGCTCTGGGTTGTCCGTGATTCGCTCGTAGTCTTCGTACTCTTGCATCATGTTGAGAATGTGCATGTCCGCCTTCGATCGGACAATAAACACCGGAACCCCGAACCTTGCGCAGTCCTCGATGATGCGCACATCGATCTCCTCGAAGCGGTCTCCAATTGCCAGGACGATGAGGTCAAACACGTAGAGCCCTTGCTTGAGAAAGTAGTCCTGGTAGGGGATGCGCTGCGTCCCAGCGCCGGGAACATCAAACCACACCATCCATTGGCGTGGAGGCTCAGTCCCAGGATCGGGATACCGTCCAATCTCAAGCGTCGTCTCCGTCGTGCCTGTTGGTGCGGCCCCCTTCCCTCTGTTTCGCAGGTTCCGGAATGCGTTGATGAGCGACGACTTTCCGCAGCCAGCCCTGCCGACGATGGCAAAGTGGAAACGGCTGATGTCGTATTGGGTTCTCCTCAGCGTCTCCTGGAACTCCTCCCTCGTTGGCCACCTTAGCGGGCCATACGCTCTCTCGGCTGCCAGATACGCCTCTTGCTCCTTCTTTCGCCTCTCTAGCGTTTCCTTATGCTCTTCATCTTTTCTCTGAAGCTCTTGTATCCTTCTCTCCAACTCTCGTCTCTCCTCTTCATTCTTCTCTCGTGCTATCCTCTCATCCTCCTCCTTCTGCCGCCTCGACTCCTCCTCGTCCTTGACCTTTCTCTCCACAGATTGAATGTCCGTCTCCCGCTGCTTCCTTTCCGTCTCCATATCCTGTAGCTTTTTCTGCGCCTCTTCTAACTCTTTAGCCCGTCTCTCGTTCTCCTTGTCCTCAGCGGCCTGTCGCTCTTCACGCTCCAACCGCTCCTTAGCCTCCTTGACCGTTTTGTTCTCCTTCGTGGGACCCCGTAAAAGAAGCGACCAAGCAACCCCGCCCATGAAACCAACGGCACCGACAAGAACAAATCGAAACATTAACGCTATGAGAGACTTGTATCGTTTTACTGAATACGATACGCGGTCATTATTAGCATATTTCATTCGCCGTTAGCGGCAGCTCTTACCAGCAAAAATAGATATCACTGTCCCCCCCTCGATATCGGTGTTTGAGCGAGGTATGCGGCAAAGGAAAGATGGTAAGTGTCTGTCTATGTAGTACGACTAATGCAAAGATTCTGGGAGCGGGCCAGAAAGAAGCCCCTCCAGGCGGGGTTTTCAGGCAACCACTTATTGAAGCTGTGGCGCCAAGACTTTCAAACACGACCAGTTATGACAGCGAAATATGAATTTGATACACAGCCCCCAAAACGTGCCCTCCTCAGAAAGCTCAAAAGTCCGGATCACTTGGCAAAATCACGGTCAGTTTTTTCCATTCAAATAATTAGGACAGTCATTCGAGACAGGAATCATATCAAAACCGCTCATGAACGCAGGGTGTCGAGGGGCTAGGTAAGCTTAACCTTCACCCTACACTCCACAGAACAGCGGCATAGAGGAAAAAAAGATCCATTAAAGACCGGATTTTAGGTTACAGTTAAAGTGAGGAGGGTCAGGGGGCAATTAAGTCCTGGTTGGAGAAAAAACAATGCTCTACAACCTATAAGGCCTGTTGGAGCAGTTAAAGAGTTTGAAAGCACATGAATAACGCTTCATTTGTCTTGATCCTCCTGGTGGCATACATCTCCAATTACCAGATACTCCAATAGTAAGCCTTTCAATCAGTCATCTCTCCAAAGGTGAATGCGCGGGGAAGAAACATCACAGACGCTCTTCATCGAAATTATTGCCAGGTCAGATGGTGGTCGTGGACGAGTCCCACTGGCTTACGAGGATTCGGGTCGGAAGCGGGTAGGGACCGGTTTCAAACTTATAGTGTGGTCAACGAGGCTGCTCGAGGCGTGCAGAGACAAGTGCCTCGAGGTTCTGGAGCTGGCTCGAGGTAGATAACTACTATATTTGGATCTGTCAAAATAATATTTTGTTGCAGTTCGATTCTGGTATAAAGTGCTGGGGAATCCTTCAAATGTCCCTACCAGAAACACCAGCCCCACTGAATAAATGCCACTAATACATGGTTGCCTAAAACTCGAGCAGCTTGAGGTGAGCAAGAGTATCTCCCTTGAGTATGCTCGCATGGTTGAATGAGCTCCCTCGAGGCGAGGCCTCGAGCGTAGAACATACTGCTTGAATGAATCTGGGCAATGATGATCGGGGACCTATAAGCCACCAACTACAGTATGATTCATGGCCCGGCTAGAAGCCGAAACTGAGGGTGAGTCTCGGGCCATCGTGATAAGCAGAGCACCTGAGCTGGATGGTCTACTGGGCAATGAGAGAGTTTATTTTTGCAGTCAGGTGATTCTCATTCAACCTTGTGCCGGGACGATCGAGAGCTGGAAGAACAGGACTTCAGATTTCGTTTTTTAACCCTCGCAATCAAAATAGGTAGGTAATATAATTCATTTTAACCATGACCAGATTTAGAACACTACATGACATCGAGACATTCCTTAATTATAAGGGTCGAGTGGGATGTGTGCCTGACGAATTACCAGCAAGATAACTATCCCGCTGTGTATCACGCAGTAAAAAACATTTTCTTTTATGTAGCGTATCATTCGTATCATTCATCTGCTCCGATCGAGAGTACCTGAATGGTTTTAGAGTATCAGGTTTAAATCACCCTGCGGAGCTGCTGCACCGATGACCTGAGGGAATTAAGTATACAACAGATAACAGAATGCAAATTGTGTACGTGACGTAGGCATACGGTGGCCTTTATACCATCAGGTTGATTGGACCGGCAGACCTATCGCTCTATGCGGCCTTATTCACTGCTAGTGTTTCCAACTCTTTGTCGGTTGAACTACTGTTCAGGGTCGGGCCGGTTGCCTGTGGCCCGTTCAGCAAAACAGTTCAGTTCAGTTTTGCTCAACTACCTATTTGGTAAGTTCGGTTTTGGAGTTTAGGTAAACCGGCTCTCTATGCAGGCAGCTCTCTCTCATTCACTTCTGTTAAATGAGCACCGGTTACAACCGTTTGAAACATTCTTATTCGGAGATACGGAATCCTAGGATTCATAGTTATCAATTATCGGAGCCAAAGTTCGTAGTTAATGATATAAACCCTCAGGGATTCTGGGCACGCCTTCAGTTCTAGCATAACCTCTCTTATTTGGTAGGAGTGTGCAGGTGTAGGATTACTAGATAGAGTTTGAGATGATTGTCAATTGATAATAATCCAACTAACTAAGTCGTAGCCTCTCTTCTTATACCTGTGTTTCCCTTCCGCTCCTTCTTTGTCCCACTCCATCCGTCAATCACGCAGGGATCTGGGAGCCTTTATTCTAACTACCTCATCAATTCCTTTTCTACAGTAGCTATGGGTATTGTTTTATCAAAGTTGAAGAGTTGTTTCGGTAACACGCTGAGCACGCCGAGCAATCTATCAATTCCTTTACAACTGAATGCCAATATTTCTCAACCAGCCATTCACGTAACTACTATTCAACCTAACCGCCCTCTTTCTCAAGAAAATAAGCCCACCACTCCCGCCGGGCAACAGGCTATGTTAGTGTTCCAAGGCCAGATATTCTTTGTCTGCCTATCCGTAAAGCTTATGAGAAGCTACCTCCATTAGCCCAAGCGCTCAAATATCGGCAGGATCCCCTAGAGCATCCCCGCACCCTGAAATAGAGGTTGGGAACCAAAGCACAGACCAGGGCCTTGTTGGAGAAGTCGATATAACCCCCCCCCGATGTTTCTACGAAGTCATCAAATGTGGTTCAGAGTCAAGACAAAGATCCGGGGGTTAGTGCGAATATCTGTAAAATACTTGCCGGCGAGTCTCTACAGCCTCCGACCAAATCTACGGACAAGGATACAAGCAAAGGTGGAACGTCCACATCACAAGTAGCGTCAACCCCGGGAATACTGGATCCAAACACTTTGCATAATGCTGTGAACAACGGCCCACCGAGGTAGGTCACTACACCCGAGTGTAGATAAGCGCTAATATGATTCGCCAAAGTGGGCCTCCTTCCTTATGGAGCCAAGCAGTCGAAAAAATACGTCAACATCAATAAGATGCATTTGACAGTTCCGAGCTGGCATATCTCAGAACATCTGAGGCGCTGATAGGAGACGTGGCGGCCATTCAAACTAAGAAAAAGTCGGAGAGATTGCATTTCGTAAGAAAGGGCGTGAAGATCTACTATGCCGAAGGATTTCTCCGGCAGCTTAACACGTTTGCGCACGCTGGTGATATAGCTATACAACACAACTCGGAGGAGGTCGCGCTTGTCTGTGCGTCGTTAAGGCTTTTTCTCAAAGTAAATACTGAAGTGGTTTGAACAAGGGAACGGCCGGGACTTATAAGCATAATTCAGGTAGGTACTGCCCACGCTGACAACATGGAGATGATCTCCGGAAGTTTGGAGTACTTGGGTTGCATTTTATGTTTTGCCGAAATATATGAAAGATTATACACCGACGTGACCAAGGCATCAATTTTAAAGCTCAGAGAGAATCTCTTGGGGCAATATTTATCTATCTTAAAATATATTCTCTATGTGAAGAGGCATTTGATGAAGAATACGGCCAGTATGTCCCCCTTCACCACATCTCACCCTGTCTATCCCGGGAGTGATAAATATATTATCATGGCCCGACCGTCCCCACCTGCTCTGCCGATGAGAACGCTACGGAATCAGGTAGTTAGGTGAAGGACCAGGATGGCTTCGTTTAGGTTGGATATGTTAGGAAGATGCTCGGAGGATACAGTAAGCGCTAGGCACTTCAGGTTAGGTTGCGGGGAGAAGCATCGGGATCGGTTGTGGGATGTTATTATATTTGTCTGATATCTCCTTATGTGTGGTTACCAGGATTAGTTATCGGATTATTCTTTAGGGTTTATATTTGAGGCCTCGTTTTTACTATTTGTACTTCTCTTTCTTTTTTCTTTATGCAATGCCTCCACCCTGTTCGTTAGTAAATACTATTTTGTTTCGATCGGTATTCAGCCCGGTCCCCTGTCCTCATCCTAGAATGTATCCCGAGTCGATCCTTGCCTCAGTACCTGCCTACCTCTTTGTATTACAACCCCGCCGCGTTAGATATATACACTGACAATACCTGATCCAGTACGAATCGCGGAAGCATTCTCAATGAAGCTAAGTCTATTGCTAGCAGATATAATAACGTCAGAAGGGAAGATCGGAGAAAGCGCAGATCTGGCTGAAAAGTAATATACAAATTGATGGATATCCTATATTCTTTACTTTAATATCGCTGACCTTATTCAAGCTGCTGCGATGTACCAATTAGGTACTGCCTATACTATTTCCAATTAATTCGATATTGTTGAAATACATTCTCTATATTAGGACAACGGACGGTCCAGGTTTGTTCCACCTAACTGCTAAAACAGAGGAGTGATATTGATAAGGCTATGGACGATTGTAGTAAAAAGCTCAAGCGACTATGCGACGTTAATTATTGACAGTACGTACTTTTGAAAAATATGTAACGTGTACACTCTACTAATTACAATAGAGATGACGTTCAAAACCAGATTAGATTGGGTATCCATAGTGCAATATGGGATCACGCATGAGAGCAAAAGCAACACTCGCACTGTAAATACATATGTTTGGCTGGGGAGAAATGACAGTTTCGACGATTGTATCACCTGCTAAAGCTGGTACAGGAAAATCGATGCTTTCCTATGTCAAGTTAACACTTAATTTGCAATTTTCTGTAGGCAACAGTCTGACTTCTTCGATGGTTCACACTTGGTTGACTCATTGAGAGCACTTCCAACCGGTGAGAATCACGTCACATATTTCTACTGCTCTAAAGAGATGCAGGAGTTAAAAGGTCTTATCTCTGTCATGCGAGTGATCCTGAAACAGCTTTGCCTTGCATATTCGTCTAAGGGTC